TATGAATTTGTCATCTGCTCAAAAGTCAAATTTAATTAGTGAAGATCCTGTTGTGTGTGCTATATATTTTGATGAGAGGTTCAGGGCTTTATTTAAATTGTTAAGAAATCAAAATGGTATATTTAGAGATAATCCGGTTTATGAGTTCTTACAGGGTTGAGTATCAACATCGTGGGAGTCCACACGTTCATATGTTACTTTGGTTGGAGAATACGCCGAAATTTGATCCAGCTAAACCTGAAACATTTGATTTATGTGTCAACCTCATCAGCAAGTACATTCATTGTATGGTTGAAGAAAGTAGTCCAGCGTATGAATACATTTCAAAGCAAACTCATCGGCATACACATACGTGTTTTAGATCAGCAAAAGACAAAGAAGAAAACAACTGTCGTTTTAATATACCTTATCCGCCTATGAATGAAACTTGTATACTGTCACCGTTGAATTTTGAAACTAGTAATAAGACGGTGTATGATCGTCGATTGAATAATTACAAAACGCTTTTGCAATATTTAAGAAATTACAACTCTTTGACAACTTCAAAAGATCCGTCCCTTGAAGAAATTTTAAATATACTTCATATACCTTCTATCAATGAGTATAAGTCTATTTTGAGGACGGGTATTAAACGGCCAACTGTATTTCTAAGGATAGACATTAAACACCGGATGGTGTCTGAATACAATGAAACTATACTTCCTCTATGGCAGTCTAATATGGATATACAGTTTATTTTAGATGTTTACTCGTGTGTTAAGTATGTTATCGAGTATGTTGGAAAGAGTCAACGAGGAATATCAAAATTAATGAAAGATATTATTGAAGGCTTTAAATCAACAACAGATATCACCGTTCAGGACCAGCTATGGAAAAATGCCTCTACGTTTTCCACTAGCCAAGAAATATCGGCTCAAGAAGCGGTGTACATCTGTTTAGGAATAAAACAGTCAAGCACATCCACTTGACGCGGTCGCATCGCGACTCCGGTGGTGGTCGAGTGCTAATCACACTCGCCACCGCCGGATGGCGCCTGTGCCCGCTTTTCCCTCCAGTCGTCTGACAGGCCGCGCTCGCCGGATGGACGGGTTGGCCGCCGCCGCCGCCGTCTATCAACACTTCGACTTCGACTGGAAAACGTCTTCATGAAAATTTTGTTTTATTTTGTATATTCATTGTGTTAAAATAAATTCAGACTTGATACCTAGACACTTGGCTACCCTAAATTAACCCTATTCCTGACCTAAGCAGCATCATTTGGCGCAGTCGGTATTTTTTTAGACTGAAAGGGACTTAAGAGGGCGTCAAAGCAAAAGTGAAACGAAACCAACGCTCAAGAGATGGCGTTATTTTCCATATTGGCGCGGCGGCGGCGGCATATAGCCACGCCCATACGAGTGCTGCGACGCTGCGCGTGCAGCCAGTGCGGAGTAGCACATCATTCTTTTACGGACAGCCGTTCTAGTAAAAACTAATATTATGCGCGCGCAACGTATGCTCTATCACGTTGGACATTGGCGCGGCACTATAATATAACACTCGCTATTGCGCTCGCCCGCTTGTTACAAACTAGAGTATTATTTTTAATACTGTTCATTAAAATGTATGTAACATCGAACAAAATAAAAAATACAATAGCTATCATAGTTTGAATAACTTTGATAGCTTTATTACTTTTGTTGTTATGACAATATAACCTATGAATAATTTTCTTAGAAATCAGAATAAACGTATTGATACCTCGTACTTGCTTATTAGTTATTACTTATTATATGCGAATACACGTCGACCAGTTTCAAAAAGAACTTAATTATTATCTACTTTAAATCTCTACATATTATAAGACATTTGTTTACCGTGTCTGTGCACGATTTTTTCAGTAAATACTGAACGAATTGTATTCTTAGTATTCACTGATAAAAGGAGTGTTTCACGAGGATAGTTTAAATATAATTTGTGAGTACTTTGTGGCAGTTGTATGTATAATTCCGGGCGAAACCGGATACATGGGAAGTTGTTAGTAATGTAAAACGTCAACTTATGTTGAGTTGTATAGTTACTCGTATAAATACTCAAACATAGAAACATATAATAATAATTTAATTTGATTTAAATGATATTAAGTATAATATATATAGTTATGAAATATTTAGTATTAGTAATTATAACATAAAATATAATATTGTACCTATAAAAAACTAAAAAAAAGTATAATACATATACTACTAAGTAGAAGGCTACAAAATGAACATGTAGTTATTTTATGTATGTTATTTACATGTATGTTATTTTTATAACTATGTGTTACCTCCCTTTTTTTTCTTTTATACAATCCATTATGAGTTTTGGATCTTTTATATCGTTTGTTTGCAGCCTTTTCCCGTATTGTGGATTAATAATTTCTGGGAGTAAACACACTTTGTAGGACCTTATAATTAATAAATACAAAACTTAGTCATAATTTTATTGTTTATATTTTTTTTATAACTTACTAATTATTAATTGAAATTAACAACATTTTACAGTATATCCCTAAAGATTTGGAAATTCCTGTAAATATAAAGAATTTTCATGATATTTTAAATATATTAGGAGTACAATGTTTCATCATAACGATAGGTTAATATTTGAAATTAAATTACCCTTATGTAATAGCGAAAATTACACCATGTCCCATATTTTACCACTATATATTCCTATCAATAAGAACAACCAATTTGTCCATCTAGTTCAGCATAACAAATATTTAATTACCGATATAAAAGTAGATACGTATGTAGAAATTAATGATATAAAAAGCGTTTGTAAAATAATAGATAATTTTTTTATTTTCGAAACAGACAACATAGAGTACAATAGACAGAATAAACCAAGTTGTGAAATTGACCTACTTAATAATTATTATAAAATACCGTCGACTTGTAATATGTATGTTACAGAATTTACATCGGAGACGTGGTATACATCATATTTTAATAACCACTGGTATTTCGTTTGTAGTCAGCCTACTCTACTGACAATTATTTGCAAAAAATATAGTTTTATTAAAAAAATAATTATAGAAAATTCTGGCAAGTTGTGGTTAGAAAAAAACTGCATGGCCTCTACACCCAGTAGTAGTTTAAAACCAATTAGTTCGTATACCTCTAATTACAAATCCTTACCTATAATGATTTCGCTGATAGAGGATAAATGTTGTTCAGAAATAAAAAATAAAACAATTCCTAAACCCGTTCACTTAGAAGTTCTAAAAAATATAAAAATTAATGAACAGTCTTTACACAAATTAAATTTAGAGTTAGACGAGGAAGGAAAATTAGCTACAAAATTATATGATAATATATATAAATATTTAATTGATAAGGCCTTAGATTTTTCTTTTGTGACTATTTTTTTTATAATTATAATCCTTGTTTTAATATGTATAATAATATACTATAAATACTTTGTAAATAAAAAGCCAGTTTCAAATGTTCAGGTCATAGAATTAGGTAGACGTGATCCTTTGGATACCATTAATAACCCTTTAAATTATGCACCTGATAATTTTATGCGCGAAAAATAAGTCATGATGTACAACGTAAAATTATTGTATTTTATTTTATATTTATATATCAATATATATTATTATATACCTACTATAAATGTAAAAAAAGTTTTAATTATTTTGTGTGTCAATTATAATTGAAACTATTTTATATTTTACACAATAATATATATGTATAAATGTACTTAAATTATACTTTTTTATTATAGTTGTAAATTAAATATTTTTGATATTTTAATGTATCGTTATTTACTATCATAATACATATAAAATTACCACACTAGATTTGAGTCGATTTCACTATTTTTAGTTAAATTACAGCAAGTCTGTGTAAAAAACAAAATAATCAAAAAGAGGTACCAATACGTTTATCCAACAATGATACATTATTATAACAAAAGTAATAAAGCTATCAAAATGATTCAAACTATGTTGGATATTGTATTTTCTATTCTGTTTGTTGTTTCATACATTTGAATAAACAGTAGCTATTTTAAATACTGTTCAAGCGTTATCAAGCCGGGCACCGTCCCACCACCACCGACTGCACCGACCACCACCGCACCATATCACTTACTATCCGTTTTTTGTTGTTGTTTACCGCATCGTACCGACCGCACCGTTAACCGCACGCGTAAAAGAAACTTTACACCGTTTTTCGTTATTTGTTGTTGTTTTTTAATTATTAATTACATATCAACCGCCTGCTGTGATGAGCTCGTGTACTTGTGCGACGTTCGAAGAATTAGTCTTGTTCTCGTAAAGTAATCAACAGTTTGCGGGCTTTCACCACCGTTCAGACGACCGTACCGTCTTGCAATACCACCACTACCGACCGTCACCGTTCTCGTATTTTCAAGTTGTAAATATTTGCTTATTGTATAGTTTTAGTTTTAAGTCCTTAGTAATTGTTGTTGTAGTGCGCTGGCCAGCCGGTAAGACATTTGTATACTTAACTTTGGTTTAATAGTAGTCTGCATGCTTTAATTATCATTTGTTTTTTTTTTGTATATATATTTGAAACCAATACAGTCCACAACATTACCGAACATTATTGGTCCTTCGAACCGGATTATTTATGTATTTTAGTATTAAGTTTTCCTAAGTGGTTGAACCACCGGTTTTAAGTTTTAAGTTTTTAAGTTGGCGTATAATAATACACTTGTTGCGCGTGTGCAAAGTTGGACTTTGGACCCTGCCGTCGGTATAGTACGACGTGAGTATACACGCGATAAGTGGACGTAGCCACCCCGCGCCGCGAAGGCAACGGACACCGCACCGCGTTGCCAAAGCTCGCGGCCGCTCGCTGCATAACACCGCGCGCCGCCACGTCTTGTGTGCGTGTATACAGCGTGACCCCAAGTATAAAAAAAAAAAAAATTGTAATTCTAATTTTTCATTTTTTATTTTTATTTTTTTTATTTTTCTGTTCCTGTGCTTTATAAATTACACAATGGGAGTTTACGAGGAAGCAAAGGCGCGCATAACAAGTCTTCAGTGTCGAGTACAGCGCGTATACGAGGCCGGGGAAGCATTGGGAAATGATTCTTCAAACAAGTTGGCCAAAACTAAATTTAAAATTATGTTTGCGACAATAGAAAATTTATATTCGGATTTTGAAACGCAATTAATGGTAATAATACGTCACCAATGTAAAAGTACACCCGTGGTAGATGCTATCGACACCGATAGTGTGCGTGCTCTTTTTGAGGAGAAGTATATCGGATGTAAAATATTTGCGGACGAATACTTACCGGAGGCAGTTGTCGACGATTCGCTCAACAAAACATTTTTTGAATCAAAAGCTCTCAGCGCCTCACAACCCTATCACCCGATCGAAAAATTAGCAGTACCTAAATTTGGTGGAAACCCTATGGAATATACCAGTTTTAGGAATATGTTTGACAAATTAGTTGGTGAATCTAATATGTCGCCAGTGGTGAAGTTTGGTTACTTGAAATCTTATTTGGTGGGAGAACCATTAAGTTTGGTATCTAATCTCATGTTGACTGATAGCAACTACGAACTAGCTTTGGCGCAGTTAACTGATCGTTATTCAAACCGCCGTGTTATCGCGGATAGTCACATTGAAGCTCTATTTAACGCGCCAAGAGCAACCTTCGGTGATGGTAGTTCTATAAGAAAACTACTAAATGTAATTTTAGAATCAACGGGTGCTCTCCAAAATCTATCGTATGCAGTAGATCAATGGGACCCCATTCTACTACATCTATTACAAAAGAAATTAGACAATTATTTAAGAGCGCAATGGGAACTACTAGTAGATACCTCCGAGGACCCATCTATGAAGGAGTTTACCACGTTCTTAACAAAATACTGCAAATCAGCTACCGTATCGCAAGGAAGTGTCAAGGTAACCACAAAAGGACTCAAACCAAACAAATCTATCACATTATTCAGCAGCCAACCAGAACGAAAGCTTGAACAGGGAAGGAAGAATAAGTCATTTTCCTGTCCTGTCTGTAATACACAACCGGGTCACTTGCTGATAAACTGTCAATCGTTCAAAGATAAAACACCAACCGAACGGCATCAAACAATCAAGGAATTGAAAAGATGTTTTATCTGTTTCAGTGCGCACATGGCCAGTGAATGTAAAAACCAACGAAACTGTTCTACGTGTGGGGGTAAGCACCATACTCTACTGCATTTGGAAAAAACCGAACCGAACGTTACCACGACCCATTTAACCGTTGCGGCTGCAGAAACAAAAGGTTATCATACGTCCGTTTTATTAGCGACAGCCTCTGTAGTTCTGCAAAACAAAAATGGTCAATCGGTTACAGTAAGAGCACTACTTGACAGCGCAAGTCAAAGTAGCTTTGTCACTGAACGTTGTGTCCAGCTTTTAGGCTTAAAAAGAGAAAAGTGTGATGTAACCGTTCAAGCGTTGTCCGGAGCTGAAGTCCCAGCGGTAAGAGGAAGAGCTAATGTCGAAGTACGACCGGTCGACCAACAAAGTCCCATGTTCAGCATTGACGTTTTAATTCTAACGCGTATTACTGGACCAGTTCCGTCGAAAAGAGTGTGGAATCATTCATGGCCACACATCAAAGGTTTGAAGTTAGCCGATCCATCGTTTGCCGAAGCGTTACCAGTTGATGTCTTGCTCGGCGCTGATGTCTTTCCACAGCTTCTCTTAGGCGACAAGGAAGAAGGTGAGGTAGATGAACCGATAGCGCTATCTACGGTGTTTGGCTGGGTTTTGATGGGTAAAACGACCAACGGTCCAAAACAACAAATTATCACCTTATGTTCGTCTGAATCCGTAAATCATACGTTACAACAATTTTTCGAGATCGAAGAAGTTCCAAAAGTTGAGAAAAATAACCCAGCCGATTTAGAGTGTGAGCAAATTTATCAAACAACCACAACACGACAACAAGATGGACGATACATAGTGCATCTTCCGTTCACACGAAATCCCCCTCTACTTGGGAAATCCAGAGACGTAGCGCTGCATCGCTTACGAAGTTTGGAAAATAAGTTCAAAAAATCACCAGAACTTCATAAAGAGTACAATATGGCAATGTATGACTACTTAGAAACAGGTCACATGTCCGCTGTAGTGAAAAAATCCGACGGTGAAGAAATATGTATTATATCCCACACCAAGCTGTATTACGTCCGGAAAGTACTACTACTAAATTGCGGGTAGTGTTTGATGCGTCCGCAAAAACTTCTTCGGGTCACTCATTGAACGACAATCTTTATTGCGGTCAAAGATTACAGCAGGACTTACCGGGAATTGTTTTACGTTTCCGACTTCATTCTGTTGTTTTTACCGCTGACGTAAAACAAATGTTCAGACAAATTGTTGTGACCGAAGCTCACCGACCGTACCAACGCTTGCTTTACCGGTTCTCTTTGGATGAACCAGTTCAAGAATATCAAATGAACACGGTAACTTTTGGACAAAAGTCATCTCCATTTCTCGCCATCCGCACTCTGCATCAGTTGGCAACTGATGAAGCAGTAAATGAACCACTTGTACAAACAGTTGTTAAACGTGATTTGTATGTAGATGACATAGCAACCGGAGCCGAAAGCGAAGAAGCTGCAATAGATCTGCAGAAAAAACTCGAAAACACGTTTGCAAAAGGTCACTTTGAGTTACGCAAATGGTCAAGTAATTCCGACAAATTACTGAGTAACATTCCACTCGATCACCAACAAACACTACCAGTGACGTTTGAAGAACATGAGTTGACATATACCAAAGTCTTGGGACTAAATTGGGATCCGAAGGTTGATTCACTAAGCTACAAATATCAACCCAATCCGGTTAAATACAGCAAGCGAGCTATTTTATCCGAGATCGCTAGAATCTATGACCCTCTAGGTCTATTGGCACCAGTAACCACGGTTCTAAAACGTTTGATAAAATATCTATGGGTCTTGAAAGTTGACTGGGATGACATTATACCCGAAGATGCTAAATATGCGTGGCAGCAATATCATCAAGAGTTACCAATCCTGGCAACCTTGCGTGTACCCCGATTAGTAACCAGTCCAAACGCACTCTATGAACTACACGGTTTCAGCGATAGTTCGGAAGCCGCGTACGCAGCAGTAGTGTATTTGCGGGTATGTACAAGTGATAGAATAGGTTGTCATCTCTTAATGGGTAAGGCAAAAATTTCTCCAACCACAAAAATGTCCATCCCGCGGTTAGAGCTGTGCGGTGCGTGGTTATTAGCACACCTTTTGGATTACGTCTCCAAAAACCTAAAATCTTTATCCATTGGCACCGTAACCGCCTGGACCGATTCCACTGTTGCGCTGGCATGGATTAAATCCCCTACTAGTAGGTTAAAAACGTTTGTTGCCAACCGAGTCGCCCAGATTCAGCTGTTGACTAAAGGGTACACGTGGCGTCACGTTCCAACCGAGGAGAACCCTGCTGATTGCGCTTCACGGGGTCTAAGTCCTCAACAACTTACTAACCATGACTTATGGTGGAAAGGTCCTACATTTTTGTGTCAACCTAAAAATACTTGGCCAGCTCAAAACGCTGACAGTCCAGACAGCCGTTTGGAAGAAGAGGCGGAAGAGAAGCCAATCACGCTTATATCTCAGGTAAAAGAAGAAGAGAGCCGCCTTTTATATCAATCTGATAATCTGCAAAAAATGTTGAGACTTACGGCTTACTGGTTGCGTGTTGGAGATCATTTATTGGGAAAACCTTCGGCTTGTATTTTCCCTCCGACAGTGGCCGAAACCGAGAGATCTTTACGATCGTTAATACGATGGACGCAGCGAGTATTTTTTGCAGACATCAAAAAAGCTATTGCTACAGACAAACAAGTACCTGCATCCGTACGTAAGTTATCACCTTTCTTAGATGAGAAATCGTTAATCAGAGTAGGTGGTCGCTTGAAAAACTCACCAATTCCTTACGACGAAAAGTACCCCATCTTGCTACCGAAAAATTCTAAATTGACTGAATTGCTGATAGATTTTGTGCATCGTACTAAGAGTCATCCGGGAGCTCAAACTACACACAACATTTTACGCCAAAACTACTGGATTCTTTCGGCTCGTAGCATCATCAGGAAGCGAATACACCAATGTATCCCATGTTTTCGAGTAAAACCACGACCAAACCCGCCCTTGATGGGAAATCTTCCAGTGTTTCGAGTTACCCAGGTCAAACCGTTCAGTCGCGCTGGTGTAGATTTTGCCGGTCCTTTTCAAGTGAAGGCCGCAATGTTACGGAAAATTAAAGTTACCAAAGCTTACCTTTGCATCTTTGTTTGCATGGTTACCACAGCAGTTCATATCGAGCTCGTGTCAGACATGTCCACGCCTCTTTTTATTGCCGCCCTAAACCGGTTTATTAGCAGACGGGGTCGTTGCACAGATATTTACAGTGACTGTGGCACGAATTTTGTGGGCAGTCAGCGATACCTAAAGGAGGTAGATACCATAATTAGAGAATCAAAATTCGTTCATCACGTCATCAGTACGCAGATTCACTGGCATTTTAACCCGCCCGCAGCACCACACATGGGAGGTCTGTGGGAGGCAGCCGTCAAGTCTGCTAAGACATTACTTCACCGTGTGGTTCAAGATAGGATTCTAACCTACGAAGAGCTCAATACCGTTCTACACCAGGTAGAAGCCGTTCTTAACTCGAGGCCTTTATGTACCATGTCATCCGACCCTAACGACTTCACGACCTTAACCGCAGGACATTTTCTTACTATGGAGCCTCTAGTCGCTGTTCCATCTCCTCAGGATGAAATTAGTCAAACCCATATCAGTACCCACAAGCGTTGGTCTTTAATACAGCAGATACATCAACATTTCTGGTCTCGGTGGAAACATGAGTATTTACACAAACTGCAGGAGAAAACCAAATGGAATCGTCAAGTTTCAAATCTAAAAATTGGCGATTTAGTCATTCTCCAAGAACCGACCCCTCCACTCACATGGAGTACAGCTCGAGTGGTTGATACGGTTTCTGGAACTGATGGAGTCGTCCGAGTTGCACAAATACGCACCTCCGCGGGCAAGATCCTCCGCCGCCCGGCGGTGAAGCTTTGTCCGCTACCGTCAAACGTTTGAAGACCTACGGTTCTTCAAGGTGGGCGGTATGTTCAAGCGTTATCAAGCCGGGCACCGTCCCACCACCACCGACTGCACCGACCACCACCGCACCATATCACTTACTATCCGTTTTTTGTTGTTGTTTACCGCATCGTACCGACCGCACCGTTAACCGCACGCGTAAAAGAAACTTTACACCGTTTTTCGTTATTTGTTGTTGTTTTTTAATTATTAATTACATATCAACCGCCTGCTGTGATGAGCTCGTGTACTTGTGCGACGTTCGAAGAATTAGTCTTGTTCTCGTAAAGTAATCAACAGTTTGCGGGCTTTCACCACCGTTCAGACGACCGTACCGTCTTGCAATACCACCACTACCGACCGTCACCGTTCTCGTATTTTCAAGTTGTAAATATTTGCTTATTGTATAGTTTTAGTTTTAAGTCCTTAGTAATTGTTGTTGTAGTGCGCTGGCCAGCCGGTAAGACATTTGTATACTTAACTTTGGTTTAATAGTAGTCTGCATGCTTTAATTATCATTTGTTTTTTTTTTGTATATATATTTGAAACCAATACAGTCCACAACATTACCGAACAAATACTATTCCGAGACATGCGCGCGAGCTTGCGCAATAGCGAGTGTTATAACGCAGTGCCGCAGTCAACACCTACCCGGTCTTTTTTTTTTTGTGTTTTAACATTTTTGGGGGAAAAGGAGTAGATTCTTCCAAATCTTACCCCTCTATGTACCAACTATATCTAATTACTGATCGATTGATGTGCCACTCGATTAAATCGGTATATCGGGTTAAAAGTTACAGTAGTTCAAAGTTAGGTACAGCGTACGGATAGCACAGCACAGCTCACCTAACCCGGTCCGGGCTAAAAATCAGTATTTTAGAATATTATAAAGTAACAGAAATAATATCGGATATCGATAAATGCAATATAAATAATAAAAAAACTATTGTAGATAAGAGGAAATATGTAATATTATTACCTGCCGCCTAAAACGGGTTTTGGTCGTGGTCGGCGGCCGCCGCCTTCGTGTTCACGTGAATTGCAACCCGCTAGGAGCTGCCCCCACCACCACTGCCACCGCCGCGTCACACCGCATGTGTTTTAAAGTCGCCGCTAGGATCGCCACAAACTGGCACTAATAACTACTAAAATTTGACTAAAACATGTCTCAGGATATGCAATTTTCTGAGAAACTGAGTGGTTTTAGCGCATACTTGCCTATTAACAAAATTAAAGATGAAGAGTTTATCTACATATTAACAGAGGTTTTTTTCGATAAAATGTTTTAAAACGAAGATATACGCTATTGAAAAATGAAAATTTCAAAGATCTATAACTCGGTTCCTAGTAACATAATCGAAAAAAACCTATGTTAATATGTAGATAAACTTCTAATCTTTAATTTTGTTCATTAGCAAGTATACGCTAAACCTACTCGGTTTCCCAGAAAGTTGCATATCCTGAGACATGTTTTACGCGCCGAAAAAAAGTGGTGTGACGCCCTCTTAAGGTAAGTGCAAATTTGAATATTATTTTTTTTTTAATTTGGCACTCCCTTTAAAGTCTAACAAACTTAGCTTAGCTGGACCTTAAGTTTAGTCTAGGCTCCCACCGTAAGAGAGTTTTTTCTCAAAAAAGTTACGATTTTGGGGTATTTTAACGCGAAAAAGCGAAAAATTAATAGGGTTTCTGTATAGAGTGTACCCGAGCGTGGCTTGTGCTAAAAATAGATATTAGGCAAAACCACAAACCCGCTGACCAGCCGCTCTAATCTGCCGGTAATATTTCATTCGGCTAATTGGCTTACGTTGTATCATATAAACATGTCAGGTAAGGCATTGTTGGATTTGACAACAGCCGAGTTGAAAGGCGAATTGGCGGCGCGGGGTTTAGGCACCGAGGGGACAAAACCCGATCTGGTGTTGCGTTTGGAGGCATCCCTCAACGAGGAGGAGGGGGTCGACCCGATGACCATGCGGTTCTATATGACGGACCCGTCATCCCCCCCACTCCAACAGTTTAACATCCCTTCGGTGATTAATGGCCAACTGGAGTCTAACCCGGAGGTACAGGCCGAAGAGGAGGTACCGCCCTCCCGGGCCGACTTGGAATCCGAATCGGAGTGGTCGCTTACCCGGGACCTGTACATGCGTCTATGTGAGGTCATAGACGAGTACATGGGCCGGACCGAAGCGTTGGAAGCTTCGGTTTCGGCCGAGCGGGTCCGGACCGAAGAACTGGAGACCACGGTGACACTCCAGCGGGAGTGTATCGTGCGGCTCGAGGGTAAGCTTGACCAGGCCCGGTCACAGCTCAACGCTCTCGAGGAATCCAGCCGGAAACAGGAGGGAGGAATCGGTAGTACAAACCGAGGTACCATCCCGAACTTACCTCCTCCACGGTCAAATACGGAGGTTTGGACCGGACGAGTCCCGACAAGGCCCGGACAAAATGGCCTAGGGAGTGTCCTGGACAATATGGTCCGAAGAGGTCAAACTTCGATACCGGACCCCCCACCTCCACTTCAGACCTCCATAACGATCTCCGGTACCAATTACCGGCCTTCGGTGGACAACACCCGGACAACAAAATCCTCCGGTCAGAACCAAATTTTGTCCCGTGAAAGCGCCCATTTCACGGGGGCAAAATCTTTGGGGTGTGATTTCTCCGGTGGAAATCCGAATTTCTCCGGAGAATTTTTCAATTCCTTCGGTAGAAATCTGGTGCAGACCACTTTCCCCGGACAAAATGACCGTGAAGACGGGTTAAACGAAGGCCAGACCCATCCAAACTTGGAGTCCACGGGTATTTTCGGAGGCCGAACGGAAGAAAGGACCAGGGAATCGAGAAGGGATAGACATGTCACCTTCCAGGAGACATCCCTTATCTCCCACGAGAGCCTGCAGTTGGCGAGATCTTCCTTGCCGGAGTTTTTCGGAAAAAGGCAAGAAGATCCGGTTGCCTTTATAACTGAGGCTGAAGCGGTCCTTGAGGAAGCGGGCATTCCTCACCACCGATGGGTAAGAGTGTTGTCGCCACAGCTTAAGGCTGAAGCCGGAAACTGGTGGGGCACACTACGGGCGTTGAACCCCGGTTGGACGGAATTCCGGCAAGAATTCCTCCGGCGGTTCGATAACGACACGACCCGGACCCAGATAAGGAGCGACTTCCACGGAGCCCAGCAAGGCTCACGGCAATCCCTTGGGGAGTTTGTGATGTGGAAGTACCAGCTCGCTCGACGCCTCGATCTCCGACTGACTGAGCCGGAGTTGATCGAGGCGATCACGAGCCTAATGCGGAGTGACTGCCGCGTTCAGGCTCGCTTACGGCGTCCACGCACACTGAACGAGCTGAGAGAGCTCGCAAGTGCGCTGGACAGTGAGGACCTGACTCGTCCTACTCCTGCCGTAGAAAATCGTTGGTCCACCGAAGGGAAGTATTCTCTGTGGACAAACAACCGACCGCAACCGGAGAAATCCGAAGAAAAACGGGGCAACCCGGAAGGACACCGGACAAACACCGGAAAGGACCGGACAAGCCTGGAGTTTTCGGAGAAAAAGCCGGAAAACGCGGGGTCATTGTGCCGGGAGTGTAATCGCCCCGGACACTGGCGAGCGAATTGCCCGGAGCGGTCAAAGGCCAAGTCGGGAAACGGGCAGAGTTCCGGTCGTTTCATGGGAAACCGACCGGACAAACGACAATAGATTCCCCGAAAACCCGAAGGTGCAAACCCGGCTACAGCATGTCCGACCAGGACTCGCACGTTGTACCGGGTAAGCACCGAAAAAACCGATTTGCGGCCTTAACATCCGGAGAAGTGGAGTTTCCACAGAAGAAAGCGACCGAGGAGGGAAGAGTTTCGGACACACAGGGGTGTGGCATCAATCCTGACCAAGGAGAACAAGGTGCCCATCCCGAGAACAGTATGCCGAACAAATTCCCGGAAGACCCGGAACAAGACCGATTAACAACTCAGTTGTTATCAGTCCCGGCGTTTATCTCAGCCACACTTCCGACGGAGTCAACTCTTCCGAGGATAAATCGGATATGAGTTAAATCCGATACAGACTCACTATACGACATACGGTTGAGGGCTGCGGATTTATGGTCCGATGAAACGGATCGCACTGCGAAAAGCTATACTATCGACGTC